CAACGTTTATTCTGCTGTGTCATACAGCGTTTTTGCCAACGCTTTGAGAGGGGAGGAGCTGGTCTCGTGCCCCGGCTATCTCCAGGGCCAAACCTAGAGTTGACTCAGAGCAGGAGTGCGATTCGATTTGTTGGACGAATTGAGCAGAGACTTTCTTTCCAGCTAGCTCCTTGCAGGCCGAGTGGTGACCCCTGGATTCTATCTGCAAGCTTTTGGATGCTTTGGGCTGGTTTTTTGCCTGCACTGTGTTTTGCACTTCACAGTTTAGGACTGCCTGCCCCCAGGTTTGCTGTGAGAGATGAGACAGAGACAATAGAGACATGACAATAGAGAGATGATGCTTGGGAGGGGCCTTGAGCATCTGAGAGAGCCCCACCTCCAGCCCTGGAGGGCTAGAAAGCATGCCGGGGGTCGTCTGCTTTGGGGACTGTGGCCCCCACTCTGGATGCCTGCTCCACAGGTAGCCGGCCTCCCAGGCCTCCCAGTAGAAACCTAGTTCAAGCCTCGCTGGGCCCCGCACCCCAGCTCTGCCAAACTCTGATTTCTGAGAACATTTGCCATCCCACACCCATCTCCACCAGCAGGGGATTTGACCACAGGTTGCCAATGACGTCTGCATCGGAGAGAATTAATAATGCGAGAAAGAAGGAGCACCGAACTCCCGAGGGAGAGGGCGACACATGAATGTAACAAGGATCTGCTGAGTGCCTACCGTGTGCCAGGCAGTGTGCTGGCAGTGCAAGGACTGCAGAATCTCTATAGCGGGGCCGGTGTGCCCACGTGCACGTGTGCGCGGTGATGCGTTGGGGAGCCAAGCTCCCAGGCCCACCTTGGGGGTGAACAGTGTGTTCTGAGAGCCTGGGGGAGGGGGCTGGGGACGGGATTTGGTCCCTCAGGGGAGAGGCTCCCACAAGGGGGGTGTGTGTGACATGAGGATCTTACCCCCGGCATCCTGACTGCAGAAGTCACCTCCTCAAAGGAGGCCCTGCCAGCCCAGAAAACCCCAGGGCCGCATAGGAAGAAGCTGCACAATGAATTCACCTCACGGGGTGAGACCCTGACCCAGAACAGGGTGGGTGTCATCCGCAGCTAAACCCCAGCCACCTCCAGCTGCAGGGAGTGAGGAACCTGCTTAGATTTTTTACAGAAAAATGTAGACTTTGTTCCCCAGAAAGTCACCACCCAGAAAGTGGTAAGTGGGGAAAAGATGACACGTGAAAGTTAAGGACCAAGGGGTTCCAAGGAGGGAAGGGACATCCTGTCAGCTGCTTTGGGGGCACTTCAGAGAGACCAGGCGTTTGCTCTAGGTCAGTCTCTTAAAAAGGGAGAAGCTGAAATGGGAGGGGGTGAGGAAGAGGGAGATGGAGAGAAAGAAGTGAGTGTTGCTAAGTGTTGCAGGAAGACAGGGATGGGGAGCGAACAGAAAGAGCAAAGGCGTGAAGGGAAGAACACACAGTGTGTTCAGAGAGTGGAAATGCCGTGAAAGGTTCACACATCCCTGTTAATACATTTCATTTCACTGCTGTTTTACAGTTTGGAAAGGATTTTGATAGTCTGATCTCATCTTCACAACAATTAGGAGAGATGGACAGAGATTAATTGTCTATTTTACAGATGAGAAAACCAGGCCCAGAGAGGGACAGTAAGTTGCCCGATATAACACAGCAAGTGGCAAAAGCACGAGAACCTAGGCTTTCAGACTCAAAGCCTGTGTTCTCTTTCTACCCCCCTAGTTACTGCCAAGGGCAGCGGAGCTGTCTGTGGGAGAGAAGGTTGACAGGGGACCCCAGGGCAAGATTGTGCGGAGATGTGAATGTGGGCTGGACGCCAGTGCCAGGGAGAGCCACTCCGGCCCGAGGTACCGTCTTCCTCATTGTCCCGGGCAGGCCTGGTTGGGAGGGAGGCGCAAGGGGAGGATGGGACAGCAGTCTAGTCCTGGAATGTGCATATAACCTGATGCAAGGAAGGAAGACCCAGAGGAAGAGCTGAGGCAAAGAGGGGGAAGAGGATGGGAATTAGGAGGAGGAAGGCTGGGTGGGGGAGGGATGTGGGGAGTTCTGTGTGTGAAAGAGAATCTGTGGATGGGGCTGTAGGCGGGTGTCCAGCAGGCAGCTAGAGCTTGGGTTTAGAGGCCATCTGCCCAGGGGAGATGCTGGAATTGGAGAAGACTGGTGCTTTGAGTCAGAGGAGCAAAGGGCTGGCCTGAAATACTGAGCAGAGCACAGAGAGGCCTCGTGTTCTGTTCGGCATCGCAGGGGATGTGTGATACCTGTTAGAATGGGATTCATCGAAAGCAGTTACAATAAAAACTCCGGATACTTTGGGAACGACAAAAACGTGGTTTAGCTTTGTTTCACTGACGTGGAATATGGCCCCCCGATCATGATGAGCAGATGCTTATAGGCTTCAAAATAAAACGAGAATTCCTACAGTTAAAAAAAAGTCAAAGAACACTTCAAAGATGTAAATGACAGTTTCACTGGTAAATCCTAACAGTGGGGAATTTTTCCTAAGCGGAAATTATCAGTGTGCGCAAAGATTTAGCTAATCGCGTTGTCTGTATTATGAAAAAATGGAAATAACCTAAATGTCCTAGAATAGGGGATTAATTGGGTAAGTTTTTATTTATCCTTATGATAGGATAATACGTACCCTTTACAAATGATATTGCAGAAGTACATTTCATGGCATGGAAAGATGCTCATTTTGTGTATATATACACACGTACAGGTGATTATCTGTGAATTAAAGTTTCTGTTTTAAAGCACTTTTTACAGCCTCCTGTGCCTCCACGGGATCACTGTGGTCAGTTTCTCAGCCGCGAGAGACCCAAACTTCCTTTCCCTAATCTCATTCTGAATTTTCTAGCACCTGAGTCAGGTTCTCAGGAACAGGACAAGCATCCATTTATTGCACCAAGAACAGATTTCGGGACTCAGTAGTCACTTGTTTTCTGCTCTTCTTGCTTAGAAGGTCTTGGTCCCTGTAGCAGGTTCTCGCTCCCATTTGCCAGTTAAAGCACCTCAACTCCCAGCCTTCCATTCTAGGGCCTCAGTGCCTTCCATTTTGCTTAATGCCCAGCTAGGCTCCTTCCTCAGTTTCTCCAGACTCCTTGCCTCTCCTGGCTCTGGACCCGCCGCTATCTGGGAGACAGTTCTGACCATTCCTGCTGGGTCTCCTGGGCTGCTTTCCCAGGTGTGGCGTTAGTCACAGCACTCAGATCCAGGTGCAGCAGAATTGGATTAACACATGCATATCCTCCGTGGCAGAGGGGCAGTAGAGTGACTGACGGCGGAATGCTTCCCCAGTGTGGGCTGAATGCTTCCCCAAGTGTGTTTATTTACAGCCTGTATCAATGGGGTGCTGGCCTGGAGGGAGAGCTGGGGTGAGGGGAGTGACATGCCTGGGGAGGGTGATTTACTTCTGCGTCAGCAGCTTTGGGGAGATAAGGAAGAAGCCTGCTGGGCCAGAGTTCTGTATGGAAAATGAACACAGCCCAGCCTCCAGAACTGCAAGCGAGGCAAGGACTAGTTGTGAGCACAGGAGTTAAGCTGTTGACCTTAGCGCAGGGCCTGGGACCTGGGTTCTCCAACCCTTTGGCTAGTCCCACGGCCGGGCCAGCCCTGAGCAATTCCTCCATGCCGCCCAGAGTCTCTGGGCCAAGCCCTGGGGGCCCAGAGACGACGCCAATTTTACCATGGAGGAGCTCCCATGCCAGGGCCGCAGTGAGGCTGTGGAGGAGGCCCGATGCAGGAATGCGGGGAGGGACCAGAGCTACCCGACGCCTGCCCTCGTTCAGCAGTCCTGGCTTCTCTGGACCCGTTTCTCTTCCTCCCTTTCCCTAAGGCCAGCCAAGGGCAGTCTCAGGCTGCGGTCGCCAACCCGGGGGGCGCCGGCCCTTACTGGTCTGTGGCCTGTTAGCGACCGGGCTGCAGAGCTCCGCCGCTCCTCCCTCCCCCGTCCATGGAAAAATTGTCTTCCATGAAACTTGGGGGGATGAGGGGGCGCACAGCAGGTGAGCGGCGGGCAAGCTACTCCCCATCGCCGGAATCACCTCCTCAGCTCGCCTCCCTGACCACCCCTCCAACGTCCTAGGAAAAATTGTCTTCCATGAAACCTTGAAACCAGTCCCTGGTGCCAAAAAGGCTGGGGACCGCTGGTCTCGGGGATACAGACCGAATAGGGGTGCCGTGTCACCCTGGTCACTGTTGACCACGGGGCAGGGATCTTGGAAACCATGCAGCACGCTGTCTGCGCGGGGCATGGAGCTTTGCAAACATCATCTCTTCCCGTCTCTGCAGAACAGCGAGGTCGGGCTACTGTTCCTTGGTAGTTGAGGAAACTGAGGCTCTGCGTCCCTGGCCGGCTCTGCCAGCAGCAGCCAGGTTGGGGTTTCCCCTCGCGCAGCAGCCCACGCAGTACCCCGCAGGGCAGGCTTCCTGCCTCGACCTCCCCAGGGCAGGTGAGCGACCTGGGGGGACGGCGTCCCCCCTCCAGACCAGGGCAGTGTGAGGGCTGAAACCTGCCCGTCTTCACACTCCATTAGCCGGCTCGGCAGCCCGGCTGGTTTTCGGAATTCAGTCCCAGTGTCCTTTGAGGAGGGCGGCGGGTGCTCAGGCGACCCCCTCGCTAGCATCGCGGAGAGAGATGCGCCCACCCGCGGCCCCCGGGAAGGGGCGGCAGGCCGGGGGCACGCGGACCGCGCGGGCCGGCGGG